ACTTGGTACTGTTTTATTTGCTTAACATTAACTTAGTTCTAAATTTTAAAAGGATTTTAAAAACTTTAATTATTAAAGTGTGGAATTGATTCTTTGCTTTCCAGTAACACTGATTACTATGATGGCCAGTAGTCATTCTATCAGTATCTAGTTGGGTTTCTTACCACTGATCTTCCAACTCTGCTTTAAAACTAAAGAATAAGATCTAAAAACTGTAAAAGAGCTCTGTGTGCAGGGTTGGGCTGAAAATGGAAGTGTTTGAAAGCTTTTGCTTCAGTTACTGCTGCATGACTAAGTACCCCGAAACTTAGTGGCTTGCAACAACTATTTTATTTACTCACAATTCTGTGAGTTAGGTAGGGCTCCACTGGGAGGTTCTTCTGTGCAGCTGCAGTCAGATAGCAGGTGGAACTGACACATCCAGGATTGCTCTTCTCATGTGACTGGTGCTTCAGCAAGCATGGCTGGGAGCTGTGACCTCTCCCCACATGGCAAATGGAGAACACTCAGAAGGTAGCATTCCAAAAGGACATCTGTCACACTCCGCAACATCTTGTTGTGAAACCCAGTCACCGTGGGAGGGGCCAAACCTAGGAGCAAGTGCTGGGATGCACAATTCATTGGGGGCACCAGAGTAACAGGCTTTCCTCTGACAGTTACTTTCTGGAGAGATTAAGAATACAGGTTCTGGACTTTGGGATACCAGGCACCCCTGCGGGAAAGCATGAGACACCATAATGAAAATTGGGGACTGATTCCCCCTTCCCTTTCTGCTGCCTGGCAGACAAATAGGTTTATATTCCAAAGATAAAAGTTGGAGGAGTGGCCGGGTGCAGTGGCTCACACTTGTAATCCAGCACTTTGGGAGGCTGAAGCAGGTGGATTACGAGGTCAGGAGTTCAAGACCAGCCTGGTCAACATAGTAAAACCCAATCTCTTCTACAAATACAAAAATTAGCTGGGTGTGGTGGTGGGTGCCTGTAATCCCAGCTACTCGGGAGGCTGAGGCAGGAGAATCGCTTGAACCCAGGAGGTGGATGTTGCAGTGAGTCGAGATCGCACCACTGCACTCAAGCCTGGGTGACAGAGCTAGACTCTGTCTCAAAATAAAAAAGTGTGGAGGATTTCTTGATGAGGAAGGAGTTGCTGTAAAGAAGAAAGATTTGAGGGACGAGGTGATATCTTAAAAATTATAACCATGATAATAGAAATAACTCGGTAGACTGTTTGGAAGACGAACATCTTCCAGAAAGTAGAACAAAAGATGAATAAACAGAAGACAAAAGAAATTAGGGGACCAGTACAGGAAATTCAGTAGCTGTCTATTAGGTTGTGTGTCTATAATACCAGCACCCTTTTCCGGATGTAGAAACTGAGGCTTTGATAGGTAAATGATTTACGTAGGGTCATGTGGTTAACCCTAGGGTGAAATTTAGAACGAGACCTTTTTGACTCCGTTGGGCTATGTGCAAATAGAACAGGCAGTTAAGTCACACTGAGTATCTTGTAGGTTAGTAATCACACTGTGGCAGTACCTGTTTGGCATTTAGGAAATATCCAGTCTAAATGAACTCTCCATAAAAGATAAGCCTGCAAGATGATTAATATGGCACAGAAACCTTTGAGTGTGGAAAGGCGAGATGAGGTAGAATCAGTCAGATGGCCCTTGTTTACTTAATAGCGAAGGTCCAAGTTGAAAAGGATGGGAAGTATGGAGAAGATGGAGAAATACTGGAAATGTCATAGGGATGGGAAGTGATTGGAATTTGTCAGGGAACAAATAAGACTCTCGTGAAGTGAAGTAATGGGACACCAGTTGCTCTGTTTGACCGGGGCTCAGTCTCCGTCACCGTGTAACTCTTCAGCCCCACCCAACAGCCAGGAGCAGAGAGTGTAGCAGTGGCAAGGACCTAGTGTTGATCAGAGTGAGAAGGAGCAGGCTGTGAAGTCCAGGGAGAATCCAGAAGGGTTCTGGGGGTATGCATCAGGTTATCTTTTTACTCCTGCAACCTCAAAATCAAGTCGGAGCAACAATTAAAGGCATTTTTGAAGTGATGAATCAAAAAACGAGATTGTAGAAAATTAAAGACGTACAAAATCTAGAAATGACACCAACATTTAAGTGAGTAAAGTGACAGGGACCCTGGGTGCCTCACATGTGTCATGTTAGTTTATCTTGCTGAATCTTGGGAAGGAAGTGGTGGCATTCTTGGGTTTGGAGAGAGGAAGTGGCACATATGCCCTTTCCTGTTAGTGAATGTAACAGGGCAAGAATTCAGACCCAGGCCCCCACGACTCCAAACCCAAATACATTGCACTCAGTCCTCTTCTCAGAGAAATTAGAGTGATTATCATGTAAATCTCGGGAGGGCAGGAGTCCTCATAACCATTTGTTCACTGGGTGAGTGAATGAGCAAGTGAATAGTAAACTAGTGGCTGGCTGGCCATGTGTTCTGAAGGTTGCTCACTGAGCACGTCCTGAAACTTGCCAGTGTCTGTGTATGGCTCACCGCTTTACAGATTTGGAGTACATAATTTGGATTTCAGAGTGCTCTTAGGTTTGCAGAGTGTTTTTACATGTGTTGGATACTGGAAGAGGTGGCTATTACCCATTTTACAGTTACAGAAAGCAATTTGCGAGTTCAGTGGTGGAGTGGTAGCCTTTTCTTCATCTATATAGCTTGTGTTCCCTTAGAGTTGTTAGTAAGATGTAACTTAATCTTTCTTTGTTTTTAAAGTACTATAGGCTCTCGAAGTATTATTGGCCTTATGGGTATGTTATACTACTGAAATTTGATTATTAATATTTTCTGATGGTTTATATAATAGTTAGGAAAGTGAATAAAAATTTCTCATTAAAGCTGTAAATTAACACTTTGGAACACCTGCCAGGAGACAACAAAGGGTGATGACAGCTTCTGCTGTGCCTCTATGCTTCCCACCTTGCTGTGATGGTGTCCCAGGGTTCTCCTGATTTTTTTTTTTTTTTAAGATGGAGTCTTGCTCTGTCCCCCAGGCTGGAGTGCAGTGGCGCGACCTCAGGTCACTGCAACTTCCGCCTCCTAGGTACAAGAAATTCTCCTGCCTCAGCCTCCCAAGTAGCTGGGATTACAGGTGCCTGCCAGCACACCCAGCTAGTTTTTTGTATTTTTAGTTGAGACGGGGTTTTACTATGTTTGCCAGGCTAGTCCTTAACTCCTGACCTCAAGTGATCTGCCTGCCTTGACCTCCCAAAGTGCTGGGATTACAGGCATGAGCCACTGCACCTGGATGATTTTTTAAAAATATATGAGATGCTGCAGGTAGTTAAGAAAGTAACACAAAAATCTGGTTGGTAGAGCTTGCTTTTACACACAGAGTAAGGAGTAGGATCCTAGTTTATTTTGCTGTTTACACGTGAAAGCAAAAAAAATATATGTTTATATATGACAGCAAATATATCACATATATAGGATACATATTTACTCGTATATTAATAAATGGGTATATATGTAAATAATTTCTAAGACAAAGCATGAAAAAATGTATAGTCACGAGGTTGTAAGGACCATTCTGATTAAATAGGACCCCATGTTAGAGTATTGGAAGACGTTTAATAAGCGATCCCTAGAGGTTCAGTGTTCTTCTGCATTAGAGACTAGCCCTAAGTTTAAAAACCTAGTGACATAGGCTTGCTGTACAGAACAGTATGCAGTGTGTCAGCTGACACTGGTGTTGGTTTCACGATCTGAAGGAAATGGAATATAATTGCCGTCCTTGTCACACCTTGAGCATTATGGTAAGCAGATGCTTTCTGGTGGAACTGTGTGTGGTTGAGCAGTGTTTATGACTAATATCTGCCATGGTTTTTAAGAGTGTTTTTAAAGGAAAGGGCAGCTCTTGTCTGGCCTATTTTTCTATCTTCCTTTTAAAAGCTGTGGTATGATGTGGACAGAATGTAACTCTGGATGTTTATAATTAACTGTTTTCATTGTAATCTGTTTCATGCTACTCAAACTGTGTAACTGGGGGATTTCTTATTTAGGATATCTTTAATATTTGTGCTGAGTCATTTTGAGTTAAGTGAATGGGGTAAAGTTCTATTTTTAGCCCGTAAAGGCCTAGTGAGGGCACTGGCTTAGCAGAACTCTGTCATGTGCATCAGTTTGGGTTATGTCCACCAAAAAAGACTTGATTCCAGTTTAAATAGGACTTTGGTCACTGAATAAATCAGTGAGAAATGCGTTCACTTTTTTGACCATTGTAAAAAAAAAAAATTATTCCTGTGACAAATTGAGAATCTTAAAAGTTAAAGTCTACATAGGAGATTATTTGCTTGTGCCTGTTTTCAACATTGATTTTTCTTTAAAGGTTGACTCTTATTTTTACCCTCCCAATTCCAGACTCTTCTATGCACTCTCCTTAAATTTTGAACTCCCAGGCTTTGTATAGAAGTTGATAATCTGGTCCAGATGCTGAAAGGAAGACAGAGCTTTCACACTCGCAACATTGGCTTAGTTTTCTGGACTTTTGTTGTTCTTGCAATCATGAGTGTTCATGTTTCTTTAAAACAGGAAAAAAAAATCGTCTTTTTTTTTCAGAGTCTGAGCTCCTAGAGAACTAAGATGAAGTTTTACGATTTTCCTTTAAGTCTCATACAAGACCTTGCTCATATAAAGATTTAATACTCTTTTTGATGGGACTGACTTTTGGTCATATGATGGACTTTAGGCGCTTAAATCTGCCTCGTGAACAAGATGACACACCTTTGGAAAACAAGCTATTCTGGGAAGCACATGAATATGTTCACATTTTATCACTGAGTTTTATCTAATATGCTTTATTAGTAACAAGCATGTATACTAATTTGTATCTCCAAACCTATAATTTTTAATATTGGTGATATATTTATTTTGGAACATGGATGATTTATAAAACCTATGTATTAAAACAAAGATATACAAATACCTGCTTTTTACATACCTGACTGTAACGTAATGTGTCTTTTTGTTGTCATGCAGAGCTCTGGTATCGAGACTTTAGTGGAGGAGCTTTGCTCCAGACTGAAAGACCTTCAGAGTAAGCAAGGTGAGGTCAAAAGCACTGTGGGCACACATGCCAGGATTAGGTCCCTGAGGAATCTGGATTGGGGGAAATCTTAGAATTGATCAGAAGAGAAAACAACAAGAACAAAGCGTTTGTGTTCAGTATGTGTCACTAGGCCAGCATCATGCTCCATCTGCAGCTCTGTTAGTGGCTTGTGTGAGTCCCAGCAGTCACTCACAGAGTTTTCTGAGACCAAGGGAGGGACTTCGTCCACAGGGGCCCTCAGAGATAGGAAACACTTCATGGGTGTTTGTTGTTGTTTTTCTTTTTTTTTGTCTTCAAGTTGAAGCTCAGAAATCAGGAACAAAATTTTCTCTTTCCTTGCCTATTAATGCTAAGACCGCTAAAGATGTTGACACAAATTACTTCAGGTTTGGAAGGGACTTAGTTTTGACTCAACTTTTTTGGAAACACAGACTTGGCAAGCCTGTTTAGTCATTTTGATATATGAACCCTCCTCATACTTTTTCTAACTTTTCTGCAGTCCCTAAGAATGAGACCTTCATCTTTAGAATAAGGATCTTTGTTTCCTTGCCCTCTTCGTGGTCCTTTCGCTGCGCACCAAGCCTTGAGCCTGCCTCTTAAAGGGCACAGTTTATTTGTAAACGAAGGCAGCATCGTAGGCTAACCTAAAGGGATAGCCCTTTTTCCTATTTTAGTTGAAATAGCTCTTGCTCACCTGCATGTTAAGTAATAAAGCAAATTGTAATAAAGAATATTCTTTGCAGATCAGTTTTAGTCAAGATGAGTCAATGTAAAGTCTATAAGTATAGAATTTTGTGGGAAAATATTTTTGGAATCTAAACAGATGTTCTGTCCTTCTGGTCTAATTAATAAGTACACAGGGGACTTCAGTCTCTTAATTAAGTGCCCCTAGAGCACTGCATCAGTGACGAGATGAACAACTCTCACCTCTTGGCCTAATGCTAATGTGGTTTAATCAGAGAATTCCCTCTGGCACACTGAAAAAACAGATTTTTATTAAAAAGACAGATTGTTATAGAGCCTGCCTTTTAAGCACGGATATTCTTATTAAAATCAGTTGAGAGACTCTGAAGAAACATAGGCATTTATTAACTAGATATAAGACACATCTCTCTGCCTTTTTGTTTCATAACAGAAGAGAAGACTCACAAAAAGTTAGAGGGGTCTCCCTCTCCAGAGGCAGAATTATCCCCTCCAGCAAAGGATCAAGTGGAAATGTATGTAAGATTGTATTCAGTAATAAAGTGTGCATTTGTTAAAATCAAATGAATAACTGCTACATGCTTTCCATTTTTTTGTTTGTCATCTTGTTTAGTTTCATTGTGTATAATTTAAGAAACATTTATCCAGCGCTTATTTGCTTGACACAGAGAATTCAAAAGTGAGTAAGATGGTTCTGTCCTTGGTGTGCATATTCAGTAAATATTTGTGAAATGAATGAGTAAAACAACGAAGGTTATTATTTGCTAAGTCTATGCATGTACAGCCCTTTGAGACAGCTGTAAGAAATTATGATTATCAGCCCGGTGCAGTGGTTCATGCCTGTAATCCCAACACTTTGGGAGGCCAGGGTAGGTGGATCACCTGAGGTCAGGAGTTTGAGACCAGCCTGGTCAACATGCTGAAACCCTGTCTCAAAAATACAAAAATTAGCCGAGCATGGTGGTGCGTGCCTGTAATCCCAGCTACTCGGGAGGCTGAGGCAGGAGAATTGAGGCAGGAGAATTGCTGGGACCTGGGAGGCAGAGGTTGCAGTGAGCTGAGATCATGCCATTGCTCTCCAGCGTGGGTGACAAAGTGAGACTGTCTTACTTAAAAAAAAAAAAAAAGAAAGAAATGATTATCCATGTTTGCAAGTAAGAACACTGAGTTCCTACTGTTTACTGCAAAGGGAACATAGGCAAATCCTTGACCTGCCAAACCTGCTCTTAAAAAAATCTGCATTACAAGCAGACTTCCTTATTATGCATTTTATTTTAATTTTCTGAACCTCTGAAATCTAAGAAAAACAGCATTTCATTGGTTTGCATAGACCTACATCGTCTAGCACAGTAGCTGCAAGCCATGTGTGACTACTGAGCACTTGAAGTGTAGCTGGCTCAAACTGTGATGTGCTGTCAGTGTAAATTCTCATTGGATTTCAAAGGCTTAATATTAAAAAAAAAGTAAAGGATTAAACATTTTAAAATATTGATTACATGTTGAAATGACAATATCAGGAGTTAAATAAAATATATTACTAGAGTGGATGTCACCCATTTCTTCTTACATTTTTAATGTGACTGCTAGAACACTTGAAATTATATATGAAGCTGAAAATATATTTCCGTTGGTCAACTCTGACATTGAGAAAGAATCAAGTCCAGGCCCTTGGAAAACATGGCCTTTTACCACTTCATTTGTGACCTTGAACATTGTCTCTGAAACAGCAGTCCCTTCCATAGCCAGTGTGAGTTTAAATTCTTCCTTTCCCAATCTGTTCTGCTCTGAAATCGTCAGTGGCTCCCAGTTTCCTAGAAAATCAAAACCACTTTCTCGTTTTCAAACCCACTGAAACCAGCCTCCCTGGTTTTCCTACCCCGCATTTCTAGTAATCACTGCTCTATAGTAATCACTGCTCTAATTAGTTTTCCATTCCATGAGCATAACGTGTGTCTTCATGTCCTCACGTAGGGTCTCAGGCCCCACAAGTAGTACTCACCAAACTTGTGGAATTTTACTAAACTTGTGAAATAAATCTGGAATTTCAAGGCTCAGCTGTGGCCCATTTCATCTAATTGTTCTAGTCCTCACCAGCATCCTCTTTTTGAATTCTTGAATGTGATTATTCCTGCCATTTGTGAGGGCCTGCTTAAATACCAGGCAGTATGCTAGCGGTTACTTAAGAAGGTGCTGTTCTGACTCATTTTGCACATTAATTCCTTTACTCCTCACAACTCTGTGAGATGAATATTACTAGCTCTATTTTGTAGGTGAGGACGCTGAGCTCTGGAGAGGTTAAGTAACATGCCTAAGGTCACACAGCTAGGAAGTAGGCAGAGCCAGGATTTGACCTCAGAGAACGTGGCTTTAGAGCTCATACTGTTGACTGATTTGACCTCAGAGAACGTGGCTTTAGAGCTCATACTGTTGACTGATTTGACCTCAGAGAACGTGGCTTTAGAGCTCATAGTGTTGATTGAGTTGCTGTCGAGCTTGTCAAATGCATATATTTTCAGTGCTCACAACAACTTTGGGAGGTAAGTCATATGATCACCATTTTGCAGTTGAGGAAATAGTCCGGAACAGCCGATAATGAGCTTAAAGCTGCAAGCAGGAGCGACTTAGCTGAGACTCCGCTTCAGACTCTGCTGACTGAAGAGACTACTTTCCTTCTACTACACTTTGCCCTTTTTCACTTCTTAATTACAGTGCAAACTTGGAAGATAAAAACTGGCTTCTTACATATTTTCTCAGTATTCTTACAGTGCTTATCACAGTGCTGAGCAAAGTGGTGCTTGACGCATGGGACTAATGGGACTAGTTCTGTACTTTACTATACAAAAATGTATGCTTTGTAATTATTGTAATGTGAATGATTCTTGGATGATGTGAATGTTGACACTACTAAAATGAAATATCCCATTCTTCTGGCTGGTAATGTTGTTTTACTGTATGTAAAAAATCTGCATACTCATTTTTTGAACACTTTACTCTGTTTTTCAGGTACTATGAAGCATTTCCACCACTTTCTGAGAAACCAGTTTGCCTGCAAGAAATCATGACTGTGTGGAACAAGTCTAAAGTCTGTTCTTACTCTAGCTCTTCATCATCATCCACAGCCCCACCAGCTAGCACAGACACTTCCTCTCCTAAGGACTGCAACAGTGAAAGTGAAGTCACCAAGGAAAGAAGCAGTGAAGTACCCACCACTGTGCATGAGAAAACCCAGGGCAAAAGCAAAAATGAGAAAGAAAACAAATTTAGTAATGGCACAATTGAAGAAAAGCCTGCTTTGTACAAGAAGCAGATCCGACATAAACCTGAAGGAAAGATTCGCCCTCGCTCATGGTCTTCTGGCTCCAGTGAAGCAGGCTCAAGTTCCAGTGGGAATCAGGGAGAATTAAAAGCATCCATGAAGTATGTTAAAGTAAGACACAAGGCACGAGAGATTCGAAACAAAAAAGGGCGGAACGGGCAAAGCAGGCTTTCGCTGAAGCATGGTGAAAAGGCTGAAAGAAACGTTCATGCTGGAAGCAGTAGCAGTAGCAGCAGTGGTTCTGTCAAACAGCTGTGCAAGCGGGGTAAGAGACCTTTAAAAGAAATAGGGAGAAAAGATCCTGGGAGCACTGAAGGGAAAGACCTATACATGGAGAACAGAAATGACACAGAATACAAAGAGGAACCCTTGTGGTACACCGAGCCCATTGCTGAATATTTTGTTCCTCTGAGCAGAAAAAGTAAACTAGAGACCACATACCGAAACAGACAAGATGCAAGTGATCTGACATCAGAGGCAGTGGAAGAATTGTCTGAATCAGTACATGGTCTTTGTATCAGCAACAATAATCTTCATAAAACATACCTCGCAGCAGGTACTTTCATTGATGGTCATTTTGTAGAAATGCCTGCAGTTATGAATGAGGATATTGACCTCACTGGGACCTCATTATGTTCTCTACCAGAGGACAATAAATACCTGGATGATATTCATCTATCAGAATTAACACACTTCTATGAAGTGGATATTGATCAATCCATGTTGGATCCTGGTGCCTCAGAAACAATGCAAGGAGAAAGTCGGATTTTGAATATGATTCGACAAAAAAGCAAAGAGAACACAGATTTTGAGGCAGAATGTTGCATAGTGTTAGATGGTATGGAGTTGCAAGGGGAACGTGCAATATGGACAGATTCTACCAGCTCCGTGGGTGCTGAGGGCTTATTCCTGCAGGACCTTGGCAATCTGGCTCAGTTTTGGGAGTGCTGTTCATCCAGTTCCGGTGATGCTGATGGGGAGAGTTTTGGAGGAGACTCTCCAGTTAGACTCTCTCCCATCTTAGACAGCACAGTGCTCAATTCACACCTGCTTGCTGGCAATCAAGAGCTCTTTTCAGATATTAATGAAGGATCTGGTATAAACTCTTGTTTTTCAGTGTTTGAAGTGCAATGCAGTAATTCTGTTTTACCATTTTCTTTTGAAACACTCAACTTGGGAAATGAAAATACAGATTCTAGTGCTAATATGCTTGGGAAAACACAGTCTAGATTGCTAATATGGACCAAAAATAGTGCCTTTGAAGAAAATGAACACTGTTCTAATCTTTCAACAAGAACTTGTAGTCCATGGTCCCATTCAGAAGAAACACGTTCAGACAATGAAACATTAAATATTCAATTTGAAGAATCCACACAATTTAATGCCGAAGATATTAATTATGTAGTTCCTAGAGTCTCGTCAAATTATGTAGATGAAGAACTTCTAGATTTTTTGCAAGATGAAACTTGCCAGCAAAACAATAGAACTTTAGGTGAAATTCCTACGTTAGTCTTCAAAAAAACATCTAAACTAGAATCTGTCTGTGGTATTCAGCTAGAACAAAAAACAGAAAACAAAAACTTTGAAACTACGCAAGTACGTAATGAAAATCCACATGGAGATGGCTACAGCTCAGGGGTTATTAAAGACATTTGGACAAAGATGGCAGACACAAATTCTGTGGCTACAGTAGAAATAGAAAGAACTGATGCCGAGTTGTTTTCGGCAGATGTAAATAACTACTGCTGCTGTCTAGATGCTGAAGCTGAACTGGAGACCCTTCAGGAGCCTGATAAGGTTGTGCGAAGGTCAGAGTACCATCTGTGGGAGGGACAGAAAGAAAGCCTGGAGAAAAGAGCATTTGCTTCTAGTGAGCTATCAAACGTGGATGGTGGTGATTATACAACACCCTCTAAACCCTGGGATGTAGCCCAAGATAAAGAGAACACATTCATTCTTGGAGGAGTTTATGGAGAACTCAAAACCTTTAGTAGTGATGGGGAATGGGCAGTCGTACCACCTAGTCACACAAAAGGAAGCCTGTTACAGTGTGCAGCTTCTGATGTAGTGACAATAGCTGGTACAGATGTCTTTATGACCCCAGGAAACAGTTTTGCCCCTGGGCACAGGCAGTTATGGAAACCCTTCGTGTCATTTGAACAGAATGATCAGCCGAAGAGTGGGGAAAATGGATTAAATAAGGGATTTTCTTTTATCTTCCATGAAGACTTACTAGGAGCTTGTAGCAACTTTCAAGTCGAAGATCCTGGACTTGAATACTCATTTTCTTCCTTTGACTTAAGCAATCCATTTTCACAAGTTCTTCATGTAGAATGCTCATTTGAACCTGAAGGGATTGCATCTTTCAGCCCCAGTTTTAAACCGAAATCAATTCTCTGTTCTGATTCAGACAGTGAAGTGTTTCACCCCAGGATATGTGGTGTTGACAGAACACAATACAGGGCTATTCGGATCTCTCCTCGGACTCACTTTCGCCCAATTTCTGCATCCGAACTGTCCCCAGGAGGAGGAAGCGAGTCAGAGTTTGAATCTGAGAAAGATGAAGCAAATATTCCCATTCCTTCTCAAGTTGATATATTTGAAGATCCGCAGGCAGATCTCAAACCTCTGGAGGAAGATGCAGAGAAAGAAGGCCATTACTATGGAAAATCAGAGCTTGAGTCTGGAAAATTCCTTCCCAGGTTAAAAAAATCTGGGATGGAAAAGAGTGCTCAGACATCATTGGATTCCCAGGAGGAATCAACTGGGATTCTGTCAGTAGGAAAGCAAAATCAGTGTTTGGAATGTAGCATGAATGAGTCCCTGGAAATAGATTTAGAAAGCTCAGAAGCAAATTGTAAAATAATGGCACAATGTGAGGAAGAAATTAATAATTTTTGTGGTTGCAAAGCAGGTTGTCAGTTTCCTGCTTATGAAGATAATCCAGTTTCTTCGGGACAGCTGGAAGAGGTATGTGTCTGCATGTTGGTATTTGACAGAAGGATTTGATCAGAGTTTAACCCAAGAACAGCCACGTCGGGCAATGAAAGAGTTAAATTATTGGGAAATTAGCTTAAATGTCTTAAAACTTAAATTGTTCTAACTTTATGTGTAAGGACTTAAAATTGATTTGATATTTGTAAGTTTGAACTAGGCAGTTGGCTTTTTCTGCAGAGAGAAAGCTTTTTAAAAATCACAGGGTGTAAGATTCCTATGTGTTGTCTTAATTTGCATGTATTATGCTTAAAGCATAAACCTAACATGCAAGTGTTCCAACATTCAAAGTTGATGAATCAGGAAGTGGCTGCTATTAAAGTGTAGCAAACCTGTCTAAGTGACTCCTAGAAGTTGATCACTTTATCAAAACTTGTGTTTTACATATAAAACAAGTTATATCTGTGTGGAATTCTCAAAAATACGTTGTGGTACATGTAGAAATTCACACACAGCCCAAATGCAAAACAGTTGTTTCTACAGAACCTATGTAGATGTATCTTGCTTTATGCAAAGTATGTATTCCAGAAGCTGTGTGGATTATATGCTAAGGCTATGGAATGAGGATAATACTAAGTTTCGTTAATAAGAGTCATTGTACCCCTCCACTCTATTGCCAAGAAGTGGTTTGAGGTTAAATGGATTGTACAAGAACTAACACTTAAGACAATAACCTGTTGCACAAAAAAAGCATAGCAGTCTGCCTGCTTTTCAATAGTTTTTGAAATATGAGTGCCTGGCCTTTCTCCAGAAACAGCTTATTTAATTTTTTGTTTGTTTTTGTTTTTGTTTTGTTTTGGGGACGGAGTCTCCCTCTGTCACCCAGGTTGTAGTGCAGTGGTGTGATCTCAGCTCACTGCAACCTCCACCTCCTGGCTTCAAGCGATTCTCCTCCCTCAGCCTCCCAAGTAGCTGGGATTAAAGGCACACACCACCACGCCCAGCTAATTGTTTGTATTGTTAGGGCAGACGGGGTTTCACCATGTTGGCCAGGCTGGTCTTGAACTCCTGACTTCAAGTGATCCACCTGCCTTGGCCTCCCAAAGTGTTGGGATTAAAGTCCTTAGCTACCACGCCCAATCCAGCTTATTTAAAAAAAAAAAAAAAAAAAGAGTTGGAGGTGTTTAGAAGTCATGCCACCTGTGGCCAGAGAGTGATGAGTATTGCCCTTCCTCCCAATTGTCCTGTATACCCTACCCACCATTGCACATCTAAATCCTACTCATACCTTGAGACTCATTTCATATGCCACCTCCTTCACTGACACTTTCCCTAATTCCCTCTCTCCCCAGCTCCAGCCCCACTCTGCATCAGAATTAATCTCTCCACTCTCTTAATTTTCATGCACTTTATGCCTCTTTTTGATTGCATTTTCCATTTCTCATGAGTTATTTATATCCTGGACGATAAGCTCTTTGTGGCCGTGGACCATGCCTTATTCATTTCTCGCATGAGAGTGCCCAGGTGTGGGGCTGCTTGCCTGTGATTATAGGAAGCCCCCAAGTGACTTGAGAGTCATTGCTCTAATCAGCTGGCCTAGAGATCCATAGAGAATGAATTTAATCCCACTGAAACACTGCTAAGAAAAAACACAATAATGTTGTTAGCCTTTATCTGTTTGTTTATTGCCCCATTTTTCATCCTTAAATATTCCTTTATGTACTTTGTATTTCACCTGGTTCCAGATTGGGAAGAAAGAAAAAGAGGAAAGAAGCAAGATTCTACATCATACCACTACCATATTCCTTCGCTTTCTAGTATGTTGATGTATTTATGTGTTATCAGAATTCTGGGTTTCCTTGAAAGGTCTTAGCTGCCAAAAAAATTCCCAGAGGACATTTTGGGATTGTCTGATAGTTTAGGTGTTGTCGGCACTGCTCTCTGGGTAGCGTTCTGGGCGGCGTTGTTATTGTTTAGAAGCTGGGTTCAAGCTTACTTCATTGGTTAGATCTGAGATACGGAGGACACTGAGAGAGTGACCTGAAGGGACAGTTTGGGGCCAGCCTGGCACTAGAACTTTATCTTTCTGTTCCGTCACATTGCTTGGTCAAGGTTGTAAGGTGGTTTTAAAAGGGTGTTCTTCCAACCCTTTTCCTGAGTCAGTCCAGTCTTTTCAGAAAGCAATCTGGGAGGCCTGTTTAAAGATCAGTAGAACCCCATCTATTTGAGACCAAGATGATGAAAAGGTAGGATTTTTAATAGAACTGGTGTCTAAGAGCATCAGAAGAATATGATTATTTTAAAAAGTTTAGTTCAGTTCAGCATTTATTGAATACCTGTTTACATGCCTATTGCTAAAGTAGGTGTCTTGGATGAGTAAGACTTTGTCCTTGCCCACACAGAATTCAGTATAATGAAGATGACCAACTTGTGGCATGTTACTAATTTTAATTGAAATAGGTAGTTTATTCATATGGTTCAAATCCATAAGTTGCAAGTGTATACATTCACACACAGTGAAAGGCTCCCTCCCCAGCAGTAGCCACTAGTGTGAGTCCTGATGTATTCTCCAAGGACATTTTTTGCACATATAAACAAATATTCACATGTATTTCTTCCTATTTTGTCTTTTTACTGAAATGATGCTTTATTGTAATCACCCTTTCTTTTTTTATTTTCTGCATACTATTCCATTGATTGGCTATACCATAATCTACCTAGTTGGTTCTTTATCTTTCAGGGCATTTGACCAATGCAGTTTTAGGTGATGTAGGTAGAATGGTGGAGGGGAGCACAGAATGCTGTGGGAAACTGCAGGAGAACCCTCCCAGCCTGTGATGGTTGAGGAAGGCTTCTTGAGCATACCTGAGTGTCGGGGATAGGAGGAAGGAGGCAGGGCAATCCAGGCAGAAGGAACAGCAGAATCAAGGGTAAAGAGATTTGAAACTGCTGATGTATGCAGGGTGGCTGTGAACAGTTATCTCTCCGTCTGTGGAGGATAAACCGTAAGGTTGAGAGCAGCACAGATGCAACACAGTGGGCCTTGGTGTCGGTACATATATTTGTGGTGAAAATGTTCTTGTCGTTTCCTTGGTTGCCAACTTAGTACCAAGCAGCTTGAGGCACAGAAAATACACAGAAGGCTTACTTGCTGTCTTCAAGGAATTTCAGTCCACTCAGGAGAAGAGGTCACTGTGCTGTGGAGGTCGGCAGGTCTGGAGGGACAGGAAGGCTGTGATGAGTAGAGGGGTGGGGTCCGGGGTCATCCTGGTGATGTGGCACCTGGCCCATCTATGCTGGGGGTTTTGTCACTACTGTCCTACTGGATGTCCTCGAAAACCTCATGCAGCAGGTTATTTTCCCCACTTCTGAAGACATATAGGCTCTAAGAGGTGCCACAGCTGCCCCAGATCCCAGGGTAAGGGGCAGGCAAAGCATTTTCCACCAGTCTGCACCTCTGTGAACAAAGGAAAACTTAAACCAGCTGTTCTGTGTCTCTTGTTTGTCTCTCTTGCACTCAGTATCTCTTCATTGACGGTTCATTTCTTCTATTCCAAAGAACAAGATATGTGGAAGGCTTGCTTTTCCTGGTGTGGCCCAAATGAGAGCTGACTGTGGCAGAGAGGCAGGATTCCCAGAGTAAAACTAAAGCCAAGCACCTTTCTCTTTACCCAAAGTAGGAGTATTTTGTGAGAATTTAAAGCTGTGAAACTTTTGTTTCCTTCCCTTAACTTCCACCTTCTAAAGAATTTATGAGTTTTACATCTGTTGCTAAAAACATTTCTGGTTAGGCTTTTTGGATTAAGTTTATGTCTTCTTTTCACTGTTTCATTCATTCATCAAATATTTCTTATGTACCTGCTCAGACAGGTACGACTCTTGGTGCTGGGAATAAGTAACAAAGCTCTTGGCGCAGGTGGAGTCACGTCTTGGTGCTTGGGGAGCTGACAATGAACAGGTTAAGTTACGCGGTATGTTACAGTATCAGTGCTGTTGGAAAGGAGGAGAGCTGGACGAGGGGAGCTGGGGTTGGGAGTGATTGCAGGAGTCTGCTGGGTTATGGATGGTGTGAGAGCAGGCTTCCTTGCCAAGGTGCAATTGGAGGAAATAAGAGTAAGAGAGTGAGCCAAGAGGACGCCTGGCAGGAGAGGGAGTGCAGTGCTGAGGCAGCTGCTGCACCTGCCCATCCATGACAGTGACACTCTGATCTGCTTTCAGTTTCCTCCATTCTTTCTTCATTGTTTTCATTCCCAGCTAAACCAGAGGTTGAATTAATACATTAGATGATGTATTAGATGATTATAGCATGATCCAGCCTAGAAGTTACAAATGACTGAGTGAAGAGGTGTCATAACAGGACGCACATTCCTTGCATACATTTACTCTAGCATAACACAGACAAATGAGTCCCTGCCATAGGAATTGACATTCAAATGGAGGATGAAGAAAAAAGACACCTGAAGTTATGGTAGAAACTGGTGTGCCCTTCACAGTGGTTTCAGCAAGAGACAGAGAAATAATGATGCATGAGATACTCAGAGACTGTTGGCTTGTGGAAACTTTTCTTCAGGTCAGCAGACACTGAGTGTCTACTTTGTGTGGGGCCCTGTACGTGGAGATGCAAAGGTAAAGAAGACGTGGTCCCGCCCCTTAGGAAGCTTCCATTCTGGTTCTGCTGGGATCTAAACTCTTGGTTCATGCTGCCCCTGCTCCCCGGGTGCCTGGCCCCTCCATCCTGCTTTCCCTGACCTTTCCCACCCCCCACCATGAACTCACTTTTTAAATTTTAATCCTCAAGAAAGGATGAAAAGATAAGCAGTGTATTTAAACCTATCATTCCTGCAGAGCATTTTCCCTCTCAAATAACCAGTTAACCTCTAAATCCGTATCTCTTCAACAGCACTTTAAGGAGGTGATGGAGAGAGTTCTGGCTGGGACACCTTCCCTGCTCCCCCTGAGTAGCACTAAGTAATCTCACAGGCCAGGAAAGGCCTTTCTGAAGAGGTCTTAGAATGCAGGAGTTGCATTCCACGTGCTGTTTACGACCTTGGAAGGACCGCAGACCCTGCGTGGTGCTGGTTTGTTTGCAGGAAGCCCAGCCCTGTTGGTTCCTCTGGCCCTAGCATCTGTTTATCTAATAGTGGTACCATTTTGTATTGTTAGGATAAGCGATAGGAGAAAATAGCAAAGGTTAACTGACAGTACAATTCTCCTTCAGTTTCTAACTTAGGAGTATTTCTGAAAAGGTATGTGAAGTGAAAACAAAAGTTTGAAGAAGTGTTTCCCTTTTAGTTACATAATAAACACATTACTGAATTCAACAGTTTTAGACCCATAAATAATTAAGTTAAAAGCATAACAAAATCCTATTAGGAAATTGATGATCAGTTTCTTTCTAAAACACTTCAGATTTTAAACTTGAACATGTAATCAAATGTCTTTTAAACCAATGAAGATGCGTGCAGTTTTCACAGGCCTCTCCGCTGAACAGATGTCTAATGAGAACAAAGAATTAGGGGGTATGGGAGGTAGAAAGATGCATTGGCCAAGCCACACCATGGGTGAGCTGGTGGCAGGCTCACCCTCTCAGGCATAGTGAGGAAGGCACACAGAAGGGGGTTGCCCTGACTGCCAGACTGCCAGGTACACATGGTGACTGAAGCTGCCACAAGTGTTCTGTTGACCACACTACAAGGACTCTCCTTGGTCACTGATGACAGCTGATGTCTGTCTACCTTGGTCACACTGTCCAGTCCTCACTGGCCAAGCAGGTGGTGGGGCCCAGCCAGGACTTGAGAATCCCATGGAGAAAGGATGGAGCCTGGTTTCAGGCTGGGTCTCTCTTCTGGGCCTGGGCAACTTCCAGATGCGAAGGATGTGAGTGAGTCTCTCCTGCTGTCAGGAATCATTCTCTCATCTCATTTGGATGGCTATTTCCGATTTTAAACCTGAATCACGGAATTTGAATTTATAATTTGATTTTAACCTTCGTTTCCTTGTGGTTCACACCTAAGCAAGATAATAAGAATAATTAAATCGTTCCTGTAAGAATTTCTTTTGGGCCAAGCACAGTGGCTCACGCCTGTAATCCCAGCACTTTGGGAGGCTGACGTGGACAGATCACCTGAAGTCACAAGTTCGAGACCAGCCTGGCCAACATGACAAAACCCTGTCTCTACTAAAAATACAAAAATTAGCCAGGGGTGGCGGTGCATGCCTGTAATCCCAGTTACTTGGGAGCTAAGGCACGAGAATCGTTTGAACATGGGAGGCCGAAGTTGCAGTGAGCCGAGATCACGCCACTGCACTCCAGCCTGGGTGACAGAGCGAGACTCTGTTTAAAAAAAAGAAAAAAAAGGAATTTTCTCTGATTCAGTTTCTTCTTTCACTTACTTCTGCCTGAGTATATGAGAGAAAATAGGGTTCCCCCTGTTCTCCTTAGAGCACCTCATGCCAGTAGAGGCCCAGGGCTGCCCCATTACCCCTCTGCACTTGTAAAATCTAGAAGTTTGCCTTACCTGGGAGCATTTTTTATTACATTAAATTTTTGGCTTGTAAGAGTTTTTTTGGTTGAGACTTTATGTCGCTTCCCATATAAGTACTGCTTTTTTTTTTTCTCTCTTTTTGAGACAGAGTCTTGCTCAGCTGCCCAGGCTGAAATGCAGTGGCACAATCTCGGTTTACTGCAAACTCTGCCTCCCAGGTTCAAGTGATTCTCCTGCCTCAGCCTCCTGAGTAGCTGGGACTACAGGCACACACCACCAAGCCCAGCTAATTTTTGTGTGTTTTTAGTAGAGATAGCGTTACACCATAAGTGCTTCTTAAGAAACACTTGCTTTATATGCTATGAACACACTGGCTTTTAAAATGCACCTTTTTCAGAACAGTATAAAAACTTACCAGTTGGCTGAGCGGGCTCATGCCTGTAATCCCAGCACTTTGGGAGGCCAAGCTGGACAGATTGCTTGAGCTCTGGAGTTCAAGACCAGCCTGGCCAACATGGTGAAACCCCGTTTTTACAAAAAAGTACAAAAAATTAGCCGGGCATGGTGGTGGACGCCTCTAGTCCCAGCTACTCACAAGGCTGAGGTAGGAGGATTACTTGAGCCCTGGAGGTGGAGGTTGCAGTGAGCTGAGATCGTGCCACTGCTCTTCAGCCTGGGTGACAGAGCCAGACCCTATCTCAAAAAGAAAAAACAAAAAACCTCACCAATTTAAAAACCCTGGGTTTATAATCCATAGTTAATAATGCTTGAATTTTTTTACTCTAACCTGAAAGTTTATAAACTTTTTCTATATTTGGTTTAATCTAAACAGTTCCCTGTATTAAACACTGATATACAAGGAATGAATAGAAGCCAAGAAAAACAGACCTGGTGGGAAAAAGCCTTGTACTCTCCTCTCTTTCCTGCATCAGAGTGTGAAGGTAAGGAGACCTCTCTTAGTTCATTTTTTCATTCCAATTTCTAATTTATTAATACTTTTCTTTTTCTGTGAGTATCAGTCCAAGAAACATTTACTAAGAGGTGTCTGTGTGGGTAGCATTTTGTCATGCACTGGGGGACACAGAGAGGAATGAGAATTGGACCTCGCTCTGAAATAGCCACAGCCTGATGGAGGGAAAGGCATGGAAACACATAAGAGCGTCACTGACCTTGGGCAAGATATGGATAAGCCACCACTGAGTCACAGAGGAGGAAGGATTGGCTGCCCCTGTGAAAAGAGCTGCCTGCTCCTAGGTCACAGCCAGGGGAAAGCACAGGGCCCCATGGCTCAGCTGGGTCATAGCTGAGGCCAGAGAGACGGACAGGAAAGGAGCTTGTCAGACGGTTTGGGGGCTTGGCTAAGTTAGGTAGTGTTGAACACACAGGACGGGAACGCCGTTCACAGGATTTCAAGTTGGAAGTTGTCAGGGTGAGATGTTGTTTAGAACAATTCTAGTAACAGAGTGAAAATGAAGTTGAAAAACTGAAGGGCACTGACCAGGGTTTTAGGCTCTGGCAGTAGTTTGGGAGCCATAAGCTAAAGGCTTGGACTAAGGCAGTAATAGAGGGGACAGAGAAAAGGAAACAGGACCGAGAGGTTTTGTAGAGGAGGAGTTGAATTACTTTCTGTGAGTAGTTCTGGGAGTCTGGGTAGAGAGGGAGACAGGAGTGGGCGCTGATGTGGTGAGGAAGATTTTAGTTTAGGGTATTTTTTGAATGAGCAGTCTGTGAGCCTTCCAGGTAGACACCCAGAGCTGTTAAAAAATCCTGACTTGAAATTTTGGGAGAAGTAGGAACTAAGGATGCAGCCGGAATGTGTTAGCTCAGGAAGTTGAGCTTGTCCAGATTGTGGTCTCCTGGGTTTCTGTCGGCTACCACATTTATGTAACAGTCTCCTGTCAGAGCACTGAAAGGGTTATGCAGATCTCTTGTCGGAGTTCAACTCTGATTTACGGGTTCACGTGTTTGTCACGTCCCCTCAGCTAATTTGTAGTTAGTGTGGAGCCAAGTGACTTCTCTCACCAGCCGCAATGCCCTGCACCCACCTGTGCTGTCCTTGGAAAGCCTCACTGGCCCTCCCTGGCAGCATGGGCTGTGGCTGATGGGATGGAAGGCCAGGTTGGCCAGCTTGACTCTTTAGGAGTGGAGCCTTTGCTTTTTTCTGGTCTGTAGTCACAGACAGCATCCCAAGGCCCTGCCTTCCTCCTTCTTAGAGCTTCAGCTGGGTCATAAGGAGCGTGCAAGTCTGAGTCTTCACTGTTAGTATCGTTGTTTATTAGAAGCCTGCTGCTGTGTTAGCTCATGCCTGGACACCCTTTGTGACTTGCAAGGTACTCTGAAGCTTTTCTTTTATGTAATCCTCACAAGAACCTTATGAGTTGTCCCCCTGATTTTTCAGATGTGGAAGCTGAGTCTCAAGCTTAGTACTATAATTGGCCTGAAATCATGCAGTTAACTATTAAGCATGGGCTAGAATCCAGGTTGTGACTCTTGTGGTCCAGAATTTTTGCCCTCTACAGCAGCTGCCTGCACTTGGTACCAAGGTAGATGCCAGGGCAGTGGGAGCACAGACCTGCCTTCATGTGTGTCCAGTCTGGTAAACTGGGCAAGTGGAAGACATAGACAGTTAATGGAATGCAGGTGGGGCCACCACAGCTGTGCTGCAGAGGACCTCTCAGGAAAAGCTAGAAGGGAGAAGAGGATGCCACCTTGTGGCAGAGAACCAATTCCTTGCAGTGGCATAGGATGATTTTCAAACACACTGAGTTTGTTTCTTTAGTAAAGGGCAATCTTGGCACTCTTAGTCCAGTTTTCTGCCATTAGTTAGTAAAGAATCCAGTTCCAACTCTTATCTGGTTCCTGGTTATCTGTACAGTCTCTTGGTAGATACTGGTGTTTGTACATAATACTTTTCTTTTTACTGTGAAGTGGTATATAGAGAAACTCTCAGTGGATAAACACTGGTAATTATTTCTTTTGAATGACCTTTAACTCACACTGTGAGTGAAATCCCTTCATATTTGCCTTGTAGCATCATGAAGCGTCCTTCTGTAGCTTATGTGGTTTGGGGCATGTAGTCTCAGGAGGTTAGCCAAGAAAACAGATAGTCACTTACCCACTCAGCAGAAGTGGCTGGGGACTCCTGATGCTTCTGATGTTGCAAATGATTAGTCACAAGCAGGTGCTGCTCTGAGCCAGGGGCTGACCTGGGAGCTCACAGCATCTCTGGAAAGGAAGAGTAGCATTGTCCACTTTACAGTAAGGCAAGGAGACAGGCTCGGAAGAGAGGCAGCTTGTTCAGGCACCCGTGTGATAAAAGGGCCCAAGCTTTTTGCAGTCTGCCACCTGCTGGCCTTGCTGTGCATTCATATGTGCATCCATTTAGCACTTGTGTACCTACTTTGTGTTGGGCACTGTTCTAGGCTCTGGAAATGCATAGGCAAACAGATCGTGTCCCTGTCCTCCTCCTCATCAGGCGCCTTCTCAACAGGGACCTGAGGAAATAGGGCACAGACCATGTGATGTGACAGCTGGGGCTGCCTGCAGGGAGAGCCACCAGGCAGCAGTGGCTTGTGCAGGGGCAGGAATGCATTTGGTATGCCCCAGCATGACCGGCAAAGAGAGGATGGCATGGGAGTGTGGCAGGGATGAGGCCAGCCAGGCAGCAGGGAGCCAGACCACAGAGGGCCTTGTAGACTGTGTAGATCAGGAGTGCTGTCCCAAACAGCAGTCTCCACAGCGCTCGCCCCTGGATTTTCAGTGCTTTCAAGCCTCAAGTAATGTAAGCGTCTGGATAAATTTAGCCCTAAAGACAAGAGAGCCCTGCAGAGAAGCAGTATAAACAGGCAGTGAAGGGCTCAGGATTGAGAGACAAAACCATATTGGAATCCAGGGCCTCTGTCCCCAGCTATTAGGCTTTGGGTGGTGACTGAACCTTCCTGTGCCTCTGTAGTCTGTATGTATAAAAGGAGGCTAACGGAATGCCTTCACTGTAGGGTAAAGTGCTAGAACAGTGCCTGGCGTGTCATCATAGCCTGAAACAGGGTAGTGTTCAACTTGAGCATCATAAAAACTATCAACAGCAGGTCAGCATCACCTTTTCCGAATGCCCTGTGGCACAACAAAACTCCCTGTTACATACAGAATTCCTAAAACAGGAAGAGAAAATAAGGAGTGGGGTGTAGAGATGGACCTGCCTGTCTCTGAGCATATCCTCGTCAAGGAAACCATCCCCCTCCCCACTGCATGCCCCTCAGCCAGTCTTAAGTGGTGACCAAACGGAGTGGGCCATGGAGTGAGTGGGAGCTTGGTGAGGTCAGCCAAAGAAAAGATGCCTCCTTAGGAGGAATGAAGCAAGGATTTCTCCCAGCCTCGGTAGAGGGCACATGGCATCCTTCCCAGCTGCCCTAGGGTGACCATACCTCTCAGCCTATGGCTTTGGTCAGCAGCGGTCACGGGTGCAATGTGTGTGCCAGGCACTGTGCTTGTGGCTTCTTCTCTTTGAATTTGCACAGAAATGTAGGAGGGAAAATGGTGATGTTCTCATTTTAGAGATGAAGGAACTAGGGCTCAAAGAGGTTAAATAATTTGTTCAAAGTTACATCACAGGTAAACAGCATAAGCTGGAATTGACCAAAGTCTGTCTAATTCCAGAGCTGGGGTTATTCTCATGAACCTCAACTAGTAACTTGGAGTTCTTGGAGCCATCAGAGAGAACAGAAGGTTGTGGAGAATCTTCCATGTGGCCAATGCAGCTGTAGGAAGCAGCCCAGCAGGGCCCAGATGGCCTTACCCTTGGCACAGCCTCGCCACCCTGTGCCAGTGTAGAAGGGCACAGCAGTCACTTGTGCCTACCTTGTCCTTTGGGGTTTTGTGCCAGGGGTAGGCATGTCATCTCGTTGAACTACCTTGTGATAACTCAATGGCAAAGAATCGGGGAGGTGACCTGGTTTTGAGGAAGTAGATGCTCGAGGGTGTTAAAGGACTTAATGTCAGAGCCGGAATCCAGAACCCTGGCCAGGTTCCTCCTCCTCAGCACTGTGCCTCTGCCCCAGCTGCATTCCTCATGGAGTTAAGGGGAAGAAGAGGCTGTTCCAGATGAAGACCAGCAGCTCTCAGTGCATTAGAATTGCTTGGGAGCCATTCTGCTTTTCAGAAAGTGCCCAGCCCTTGCCCAGGATAGTTCATTTGGAATCTCTGGCAGGAGTCTAAGCCTCTCTAAAGCCCTCTGCTTCCCCACCCCAGTCCCGGATGATGAGCATATGCAGCCAGGGTTGAGAACCACTGAGCTCGTTGGATTTATTTGATTTCTTCTCATCCTGGTTTCCTTCCCATTTTGTGGGCCATTTGCCTAGTGGAATCACTAGCGCCATTTCTTTTCCCTGTTCCATAGACATGATACCTAGTTGAGTATGTTGTTGAGTTGAGGAAGAACGCACAAGAACGTGCCCCTGTGTAGTTTCTCCGTTGCATTTCCTCCTGTCTGAACTTCCTCTGTCCTCTGTTCTGTGAACGTGTCGCAGTGCACCATCTGTCTCCTCCACTCATTGGTTGTGGACAGCAGGGGCCCTGTTGGTCTCTCCTGTGTTCCCATAGCCAGTCACATGCTAGGTGTGAATATAAGCTTCTCCGCTGAATGTCTCATGGTAGAATAACAGGATGTATGGTTATGCTGGCCTATTTCTTTTTTAACTCACTAAACTAAGAATTTTTTGTCAGCGTAGCATTTTTTTCTCTTATGCACCTGCGTGGCTGTGCTTTTAGTGATGACTTAAAATCTCCGAAGGGTTGGGAGACCTAACTGATCTAACTTTTTAGTGAAAAGTGAAACAAGAATGTGTGTTTCATAACTGTGTCTTAATGGAATTTCCCCCTTTCCCTCTTTTCCCTTCTCCATTCAAAATGATTAAGAATGTTATACAAATGCCAAGGGAGAGAATGGTATAGAAGAATATCCAGATGTTAAAGAAATACCCAGTAATGAAGAACGTCTGTTAGATTTTAATAGGGTAAGTGGACTGTCCTCCTCCTTATTATTAACTTAAAAACGGCCACCACCTCCACTTGTCACTCTAGTCAAAAACCTGGGAGTCATGTGAGTGGACCCACCTCTCCCAGGAACCAGCCAGGTTTGTGGGTGCAGACATCCTCTTCTCTGGCCTTTGGTTTGGGTCTGCACCAGCCCCGCTAACCCCCTTGACTGTTGACCGACAGCACTTCCTGAAGAATCCCCAGCCCTCTCCCCAGTCCTGGCTCCGCTCTCCTGCCAGAGGGCATTCTGTTAAAAATGCAGAGCTGACCCTGTTGCTCCTCGGTGGGCACTCTTCATTTTTTTTGTTTGTTTACCTATTAAGTGATGAGAAACCTAACCTTTCCATCTTTCAAAGTACACCGCGAGGCAGCCTTTCCAGCATGCTTTTTGCCGCTGTCCTGGCAGAACGACCCCGCCCCTCCCGTGTCCTTGCTGTGCTCTGTGTACAGCTCTTCTTGTTGCAGCCAGAGCCTTGAGCTGCGTTGGATTTCTGCATGTCTGCCTCTTCCACAAGCCTGTGGGCACCGTGAAGGCGGGTGCAGGGCTTGTGCCTGGTTTAGTCTAGTCTCAGACCCTCCCCAGTTGACCAGGTCGGCAGGCAAATGAACCTAAGGAAAATTCTTTTTCTTTAGTGTGGATTGTCAGTGTATTAGAGTTCTGCAGAGGGACAGAACTAATAAGATAGATAGATATATAAAGGGGAGCTTATTAAGTATTAACTTACACGATCACAAGGCCCCCCAATAGGCCATCTGCAAGCTGGGGAGTGAGGAGAGCCAGTCTGAGTCCCAAAACTGAAGAACTTGGAGTTCGATGTTCGAGGGCAGGTACCTTCCAGCACGGGAGAAAGATGTCGGCTGCGAGGCCAGGCCCGTCTCGCCTTTTCACGTTCTCTGCCTGCTTTTTCTAGCCAAGCTGGCAGCTGATTAGATGGTACCCACCCAGATTAAGGGTGGGTCTCCCTTTCCCAGCCCACTGACTCAAATGTTAATCTCCTTGGGCAACACCCTCACGGACACACCCAGGATCAATACTTTGCATCCTTCAACCCAATCAAGTTGACACTCAATATTAACCATCACAAGTCCACCCCTTATCAACTTGAACCCATACACATCTGAGAATATATATAATCTTCAAATAAAGACAATAATGTCATAATTATACCTAACATAACACAACTATCCTTCGTTATTGAAACAAATCAATCCCCAACCCAAATACTACTACATAAAGTTAACAGTACTTAAATACTGATATGAAGTCAATAAATCTTACGTCAGCTGGCCGCAGTGACTCATGCCTGTAATCGCAATACTTTGGGAGGCTGAGATAGGCAGATTACCTGAGGTCAGGGGTTCGAGACCAGCCTGGCCAACATGATGAAACCCTGTCTCTATTAAAAATACAAAAATTAGCCTGGTGTGGTGTTGCACACCTGTAATCCCAGCTACTCAGGAGGCTGAGGCAGGAGAATCACTTGAACCTGGGAGGCAGAGGTTGCAGTGAGCTGAGATCACACCCCTGCACTTCAGCCTGGGCTACAGAGCGAGACTCCGTCTTAAATAAATAAATAAATAAATAAATAAATAAATAAATACTTATGGCACATGACAAAGGAAAAAATAAAATGAGATTTTCCTAGTATAAGTGTATATATGCACAAACTTGTTTAACAAAAGGAGGAAATACTCATGACAATTACAGTCCTCATTTCTACAGTTGATCATGTGGTCGTAGCTGGTATTGGTGATGACCTTCTCCTCCCACCCATTCTGTATTCCCTTTGCCTTCAGCAGGTACCTCAGCAGGTTGTGTGTGTGTGTTCCCCCCCCACCCCCCGCAGTGGAGTGACCCAAACCTTCATTCCTGAACCGTCTGGGCCACTTGTAGTCCTGCCTGGAGTGGGCTGTTGTGGTTTCTCATTGACGTTAATCACAGGGCATGTGATGAAGTTGACACCCAGTGTTAACTGTCACAATTAGTGTTCATTCAAGTCCTGTGAGAACTGTCTTAAGCACCCTGTAGCACTGTCCACATCCTGCTGCCCACTGACCTGTCTGGCTCCACACATTGAGGCAGATGTTTGAGGCCCCCATCAGCTCTCTCCTCAGTGAATAGTTCACATCAGCCTCGAACCCCAAACCAAGAAGTTCCTCAGTCCCCGCTCTCATCTTCCACACACAGTCCACCTGCCAGTCCTATTCCACCTCCCAGCCACTTCACATCCTCACACTTCTCTTCCTCCATCATTACCACTGTTCAAACTACTGTCCCTGCTCCCGAACAGCTGCCATGGTCTTTTCATTTTCCTTCCTGCTTCCGCCATTCTTCTCCAGCCATCTCTCCATGCTGCAGACAGAATGACCTCACCAGCAGTCTCTTGTTGAGTCCTCACAGCTACCCTGTGAACTAGGTGCTGTTGTCACGCCTGCTTTGCAGAATAGGAAACTGAAGCACAAAAAGATCAAGCGCCCAGCATCTGAGGTCAAAGAGCCACATATTAAGTGTGGACCTGAACTCTGAACCTCAGCAGTCTGGCTCTGGAATCCATACTCCTAACCATGATGTTGCTTTGCTATTGCATTTGAGACAGATTCAGACTCCCTGCCATGGCTCTACAGCTCTGTATTTTTGCCCCTACCTGCCTTTGACCTCATCTGCCTCTGCTCTCCCCTTACCAACTATGTGGCTTTTCTGTGCTCCTGCCTCAGGGGTTCTCAACCAGGGACAATGCTGCCATTTGGAAATAGGGTGGGAGTGCCGCTAGTTACCATGCCAGGAGTGAGACGAGCTTTGGTGATGACTGTGACTGGGGAGGAGCTACCGCTGCATCTAGTGTCCTGGGGTCCACAGTTGCCAACCATCTGGTGTAGGGGCACAATCCCACACAGCAGTGTTGGCACCTCTGTATCCTGTCTTCTCAGCTGAGCAGGTCTCTTCTCAAAAGAACCACCTTCCCAACCATGCCCATGTGCAGTGCTCCCTCCCCATCTGTGCTGTACCACTACAACCCGGAGCGTGTTGGTTTGCTCACTCCTCTCCCCAGCGGGCACGGCATGGCCCTTCCACTGCTGGGGTGCCTATGCCCAGTTCCTGGTGTGTAGCAGGTACTCAGAGACTTTTGAAAATGAAAGAGTTCTTTCTCCTACCCTAACATAACTAACATTTTGTCCAAGTGGCTAAACGTGTGGAATTAGGATTTTGGATCCTTAATGGATCAGAGAGGAGAGGCCGTTTTGCTCTCAAACAGTGGAACTCTGCATTTCTGTAACTCTACAGGAAAACACCAATGATTTATTTCTTCTCTGCATATAAATAAAGAATATCTCAGCCTTTTCAAAAAAAAAAAAAGATCTTTTTGATCTGTTCAAAATTGTTTTAATCTTAGGTGTCTTCTGTTTATGAAGCAAGATGTACAGGAGAGAGAAACTCTGGAGCAAAGTCAGATGGCTTCCGCAGAAAGACGTGCTCCAGCGCCAGCTCCACCTCGGAAGAGACAGGCTCAGAAGGCGGAGGCGAGTGGGTGGGCCCTAGTGAAGAGGAGCTCTTTTCTCGAACTCATCTCTAAACCTGCAAAGTAGTACAAATTACTGTTTAAAAATGATATGTGATGGAAAATTACTCTTCTGTGAGACCTGTTAATCTAAAACAACAACTTAGGTTTCCTCTTCAATTAACTGATTCAGATCGGTAATCATTATCTTTCTCTTCTTGCTTATTTTAGAGTTGAGGACAGCTATCCTGTTAAAGATTTTTTTTTTCCCAGCTGTTAAATTCTTGGCTATTTGAAATAGACTAGATTGTGTTGTCAAATCAAGAATGGGTGTGCATGTGCTTGTCTTAGAAGTATCACTGCTTTTTGCATCTTAACTGCAGTTAATTTTCCTTCTGACTGCAGTTATATCACTATGACCTTATTAGCATTGCAGTGTCAACAACCACTTCTGCTCTTCAGAGACTTCAGCTTTGGAGCATTTAGGCTTTGTTCTCTAAGAACTGGGATATCCATTCTTACCCTGCAGTGGCTCAGTGCCTTTCTGAAGGCGAGAGGGAAGCGTGGGTGACTCAGCTGTGGTCTCCATTCAGTCAAATCTCATGTACATTTGAAATAGGAACCACAAGGGTGTGCTTTTAGAGACTTACAAAATACTGTGTTTTCTATCTTAGGATTTTTTTTTCCCCTAAAGTATCATGGAAGATACTATGGCTTGTGACTTTCTTGCTAACTAAAGAAGCCAAGGATTTGGGGTGTGGGATCGTATGAGGCACAGTGGGGTTAGGGTATATGCTCTTACCTGTATGACTGTTCTCATACTGCAGTTTCATTTCCACCAAAGTCCCGTGCAGGGTTCTTTGTGGTGAGTGTTACGTATGCAGTAAGGACCTTAGTTGCATATTGTTATTTTCTGGTGACCTGTGTTGAACTGAAGCCCCCAAAACTTGAAGTTGTGAATATTTGACATGCAATAAAGGCCACCTCATCACCCAGAGAAATCTTGGGCTGCTGCAGCTAGCTGCTCCTTGGCTGTGATGTAGTATAGCTTCAATCTCATTTTGTGTTTGAGAGAATGTTCTGGGCAAGTTCTGTGTGTGGTGGGTTGGTGTGGGTAGAGTCATGAGTTTTCCACATCCCTGTGTGGTTGCTGTGCTGATTGTCCTCCATGTGACTGGCTTCCAGCTCTCCTCGGTGAGCCTGGGAGAGCTGGCACATCTTGTGAGTGGACTGCCACTCCATGGGACTGGCTTCCAGCTCTCCCTGGTGAGCCAGGGAGCCGGTGCATCTTGAGTCGTGTCTGGGCACGATGATCCTCTCCTCTAGCTGTCACGGCATTGTGCAGCAGGCTGAAGCCAGGAGGAGCAATATTTGCA